CCCTAGCTATAAGTTTCAGATGGGACAATGCGTCCGAAGAAAGAAGAAAGGCCCTGACAAATTGTCACAAGAAAGGGCTGCAACGAATGGCTCTCCATCTTCGGATTCGAAGATGAGGAGTCATTACTATTACTATTTTGTCACTGTACTCGCCTGTAGTAGTAGTTTGTTTCTATGGGTCATGTACCCCAACGTGGGATATCATTGTGTGTCAATTGGGCAATTCGCGTTTTGTTTTAGTGTTGCGATATGAAAATATAAATCGCGTTCGTTTGTGAGGATTGTTTTCATTAGAATTTTTCGCGTTTTATTTCAGAGTAGTATTGCGTAATACAGATCAACCGCGAGTGCTATTAGAGTTGCGTTTAAGTAAATGAATATTGATCGCGTCTGATTTGTTACGATTCAGAGTCTTGCTTTTGAATAGAATCTTTCGCGTTTTATTTCAGGGTAGTGTTGCGGAATACAGATCAACCGCGAGTGCTATTAGAGTTGCGTATTATGAATATCGCGTCCGTTTGGAAGTAGTATTTAGAGCCAATTTAGCTTTTGATTAGAATTTTTCGCGTTTTCTTCCAGGGTAGTGTTGCGAGTAAGACAACATCAAAAGAAGAAAACCATCTACTGATTTTCTTTTTATATTCAAAGAATAGAGAATAATATACTTTTATTCTGTTCCAGGCGACAGTGGCGAATTATGAATCGACTATTCGACGATAGACAGGAATACTGCTATGTATAAAGTATAATCATATCGGGAAATTTATATATTTTATTTAACATAAGGTTGAATTGTTTCACTGTTATGAAGCACAATATTTTGCCTAGTTGCATATTTGATATATTACAAAATGACTATCTTGTCAGTAATACGATGATGATGATGATGATGATGATAGGGTCAATCAACTATTTGATGTTTGATATTATTAGTGAATATTCATTATTAGTGTTGCCACGCGATATAGTCTATTTTTTAATTACCGTTAACTTACAAGAAATTTGAAGTAACACTGTAGAGAATATTTTCGGAAATATTGAAAATTAATTGCATAATCAAAATTTGCTCGCGTTCGTTATTCTCAGTTTCACGATGAGTAAAAAGCTTGAACTAAAAGAGTATGCAAATGCAATTCGATGCTTCGCATTGATAGGAAATCTTTGAGTAGAGTCGATATTACGCATTTTCGTTATTTTTTCTTTTATCGAAATAACTTGTATTTGATTACAAAATATGTTTCTGTCAACTAAGAAAAAATTCAAATTACGTTGACATATTTTCATTAAATAAAGTCATTTGTTTTGCTTAAATTATTATAAAATAGTTCTTTCAATCTTGTAAGATTTTCTCTTGGCAGTGGGATATTTTGGTAATTATTAATTTACCTATGTTTTTACTAAAATATGTTCTTTTCAGCTGTTAATCCATTGAACAAGTTTATGTTACAGAGTAAATAAAAAGTTTCCCAATATTCCTCTACAACATTCATCTACAAGAGGAATGATAAAAATTAGTACAATATAGAATTTCGTGTGTCTGAAAAACTAATCATAAAATCTGTTTAGTATGTTTCAGTTTATGCTGCAGAAATTCTTCCTAGGATCATCGAGTACAACAAAAAATGTAGTACTACATTAATATTACGTATGTAGATTATTGCATGAAAGCATTGTACAGTGCTCGCTTTTTCGCTTCTTGCATTTTTCTGTAGCTTGTTCCTTGTATGAGTGGCTTATTGGTTGCATGTATAATTTTTTTTTTAATTTGGGGTAACACACCCCCGGCCGGGGCGGGCCACACAACACACACACTCACACAACATTTAGATTAAGGATAAAGGTGGCTAGGATGTGGTTTTGTCTTGGCCACCCAATTTTTTTTGGGTCTCTATATGCAGCAACCTCCACGTGGTGAGACCTGGGCCCTCTATATTATTTAAGTATGTAATTGACAACTGCACATCGCCGGTAAGGCCAGATGGCATTATCAATTGCATACTATTTAATATGAGCTAATGGCTGCAATCTTTCTCGTTTACAAGTGAATGAAAGTATGAGAACTTAGAATCAGTCTAAAGTATATATAATAATACATAATGAGGAAGTTTTTATACAAATAGTTTACACTATTTATATAAATAATATGTCCATAAAAATTAAAACTAAATGGTCGTACCCAAAAATGTTGTAAAAATAGTTGTTACGATTTCTGTCAGATGGCGTTACTGATACAATATTCTTTGCTTTATAGCACTGCAATACATTAGTTAATATATCAAATGTATCATTTTTATCATAGACATATGTAACAAATGATTCTACATCTTCAGATTCGAAGATGGGGAATCATTCTTGTTACAACTTTGTTACTGTACTCGACTGTAGTTGTACTTTATTTATGTATAAGATGCGTCATGTACCTGCATGTACCCCAACGTGGTAACTCATCATTCAGTGTCAATTGGAATGATGCTCGACTAATGCATTAAAATCAGATAATTTGGACCGCAAAATTAATTAAAATTTTAGTTTAACTATATTTTCACTGATATCAAACCTGTGTAGTAGTTGTCACTGTACGTACCAAAACATGTATATACTAAAAATGTAATACGTGATGCGACGCGTGCCGCAATACACGTGGTAATCTCTTTCATCTCACTGTATAGAACTACCCGCAGAAAAACATTTTTCTGTATAATTATTAATAACAGTGATATTTTTTTAGATGAACATTTTACTAAGAAATTATTATTATTAAACATTTGGATCTAAAGAAAACATTACAATTACAATGGAACCAGACGAGGTTATAATAGAAAAAGTAATAGGAAATGTTATTTTAAATGATGAAGCTGATAAAGAAATAGTCAAAGAAAATATCGATGTGCCAAGTGTTATTAAAAATGCATCAACTGCATCTGAGAAATGTATAAAAACTAATGTTTTCGAATCAATCTGTACTACAAACGATAATGAAATAATTTTAATTGACAAAAATACAAATATGCAGCAACAAGAATCGTTTACAAGTATAAATAACAATAAAGCATCAATCAGCAACGATAGTAACAAACAGGCCATGACTAAAGATTCCATTGAAAACTTGGAACAAAAGGATGACGATATTCGTATTGTGCATGAGAACACTGTGGCATTGTCAGCTGAGTGTAAGTATATAAAATATTTATTTCATAAATGATATTATGGACAAATAGAAATTATTTAATTTCATTAATTGATTTTAACAGCAAGCAACAAACTATGTTCTCTCTCTAATATTGCTTTAGAGTACGGAGATTCTGATTCAGAGACAGAAAGTAATCCTGACATTGATAAACACGAGGATGGTGAAATTGATATGTTAAAAGAGATACAGATGCAATCTTATAGATTGATTAGCAGTTCATCAAGTGAAGAGAGCGACAGCGAAGACGATTCGACTAGTACTGACAGTGATTCTTCATTAAATGATAAATCAAGTGAATCGGATAGCAATGATAATACAAATAAGTATGTCATTTATATTATTGAATTTTTATCTCTATTAATTTATTTGTTTCGAGATCTAGACTATAATATAAGATATCGACAATAACTTTTCGTATATTTTCAGAAAAAGTAAAGAAAATAACACAAAGGGACGAAAACATCATGAAATGAAAAGCGAATTGGATGAGTTGCCACCTATCGAAGATTTAAAAATTAGCGTACCGGAAGTACTATGCGATCCGTTAGGCGAGGTTTGTGTCAATTTTGAACAAATGGTATATTATTTGTAAACATATTTTGTATTCGTCAAATTTTAGATTGCATGGATGGTTGAACAATTAGTAGTTGTGCGACCAAAGTCTGGTAAACCAACATTGAATTTAGATACAGTTTTATTTGTCGAAAAAGGCCAAAGAGCATTAGGTAAAATATTCGATGTATTCGGCCAAGTAAGCGAACCACATTATTGCGTAAGATTCAATA